ACCAGTCATTCTTTCTGTTCCTGTGGGTATTAATTGTCCCAGAACTTCAGTAAGTCTACTGCTGTACTTTATGGAAACTCACCTGGTTTGTTTGTTTGACCTACAGTGGTCATTTTCAGTTCTGCTTATTTCTAGATATTTCCCATGCACTGAATAGACATTTGAGTTGTTTTCCATGATTTTGAATTTTGCAAGCTAATTCTTTTTTTATCCCTGCTTATATGTCTCAACTTTCAGTGTTCTGGGTGACTCCTTTCTTTATTTTAGATACTGGAACAGTCATCCCCTGTTGCAAAGGATACACATAGCTTCGAATTGTCTTGGCAGGTAAATCTCTTTTATAGTTCAGAATTAAATATACATATTTTTAGTTTCTTAGTGTTTTAACCCATGTCATCCTGACAATTTGTTTTCTAATCATTCATCTACAGAAAAACATCCATCAATTAAATTCTCCATTATACATTACCATGCAGTATCCATACAGAAAAAAAAATCCCAATTACATGTAGATGGAAAGAAGATTCTACATGGAAATAAATTTTGTCAGAGTCCATCCTTCGTACCACCTAAAGTAAAAACATCTATCGGATACACCTCTGCGTTGCGTTTGCCCCTCTCTTGCTGTCCATGAGCCGTGTTGCAAATCTGATTAAAAAAAACTTCTTCAGATGGCTTCACTTCTGAAACTAGTGTATGTTGTAAATGCACTTCATTTCAAACGTTGTCTTTCCAGCTGTATCCCGTTACCTAGTGAAAGGGATTTTCTCTATCCTAAACTATTCCGGTTAGAAGAACATAGGAGAACTTGACTTTTTTTCAGTTATCTTAAAGATACCCTCGACTGAAGTTGCTTGGCCATCCTTGAATCTTGCATCATTACAAATGTGTGTATCCAGACCTACCTTTGAAAAAAATTAAAAGTTCAGCAAATAGAGAAGAAGCATAGGTAAACTGATTCAGTTGTTTTTCCAGGTATTAAAACTTACTGCTTCCCCTTGTTTTTAGGAGCACATCAGCAGTGTTGTCATGGATACTGAGCCAGGTCCTGTTTTGCCAGCTTGCAGATGTGCTAAAAATGGGATTTTCCCTTCCTACCTGTTAATCATTCTTAGGGACTTGGTTGAGGGTCCACTAAAAACAGTGAAAAGTCTTTAGTTATGTAAACAGATTTTGGACTAGGGAATAAGTGAATGCTAGAATATCAGCAAATGTTCCGTTTCATAATGATTACCAGATACTTTTTATTCCACTGGTGAAAGTTACATAAATACTATGAGCTTTTTCTTATGCTGGAACACACCAGACTTCGAGCTTCTGATGGCTTGCATCCTGCTGTTCCTCCCGTAATAACCTGTCATCACTCCAGGAGAGGCACGAAGGGTCAGTATTAGGTCTTGGGGCTACCTTTTTGGATTTATTTTTTTTCAACTTTTATTTGGGGGAATAGTCTTTGCATCAGAGGTTCGAAATGTGGACTGATGGCAGACACTGTTACATTATTTTACTGTTGTATCTTCTGATACTTTTAGCTCAGGATAAGTTCTCTGGGAGCATGATCCCTCTCTGGGTGGAGTTGGCTGCAGGGACCAGGGCCAGCAGTGAGTCAGTGTAGCTGAAGGTGGTCCCTTTCCGCATAGCTCCCAGCGCTATGGGAAGGCCATGCCAGGGATGACCTCTGCATGCCGGAGCTGCTTGCAGTTGGGTCTGGATCAGGCTACAGTCCCGGCTGTGTCACAGGTATGTTTTTGTTTAGGGAGCGGATGGTCCTTGCTTTTCCTGGCACTAAAGTTTTTCAGCTGTATCTTAAAAACTTTCATGTCTGTAATACCTGCTTTTTTGACTTTGACTGTAGATTCAAACCCCATCAATACTATGTGGCACCTTACAGAGAGAGCTAGCAGGATTTCAGTTTGTCCTGTACAACAAATCCTTTTTCCAACTTACCCTTCCCTCTGTGATGCTGGAATCGCCTGCCTCTGCAGCACAGCCCTACCACTCCTGACTCACTGGACCCCACATTGCATCTGATGGTGCCAGTGTGACTTTTCCCTGCTTTAGGCCAGATGTTGGATGATTCACTGTATCTCAAAAATACTTTTGGTAGCTGAGTCTTTATGAATTGTCTCTTAATTTTTTTTTATGATGAAGTTCCCTAAACTTACTGCTGGGCAGGCTGATTTTAATCTTAGGTGAAACAGTAAAAGGTATGAAAAACAGTAGCTTAATTCTTTGCAATGTGAGAATACTGTTAATTCATTTCTTTACATATAGGGTATTTGATAATAGGGTATTTGATAAAGTAACCACTGCAGTGCAGTAGCCAGAGGAGAGAGGATGTGTGAGTTTCATATTTTTAACTGAATCTGCTCTGTGGCACTGTATATACGTCTATGACTGTGGGAGGTGCCTGCCAGAATGCATCCTGAGCTCTCCATCCCTACACTGCACAGACCAAGGACTGGCCAAATGTGGCACAACTCTTATTTTCTGGGAAACAGCAGTGGCTGGTGGAAAAGGCTTGCAGCCGTGTCTTTACTGAAGTGTAACCTGCGAGACAAAGTTGCAGTGCTCATCCAAACTGGGTTAGAAATTCATCTTTCAACCTCTTCCTTAGATAACTTGCATGTCACAGTGTTCTGTGTTAAGACCATAGCTAGTTTTCTCCAATAAAGCTTTCCAATAGAGTATAACTTTAGCATCAAATCATACAGCTGTCTTTAGAAAGAACTGGGATAAATATACTGCTCTTGGTTTGCAACTGCTGCATGATAAAGATATAAATTTAGAACAGTAATGTTTAAAAAAGCCATAAAATGCATTAAACTTTGAGAATGTACCTGGATTTTTTTACTTAAAAATCTATTCTGAAAAAGTACAAGAAACAAAAATCTGAGTAAGGAGGGTGTATTTCCAGGTACCAGGTAAACTAATTGTTGCCTGACATTAAGTCACAGGTTTTTTTGGTTCACAAAACTGCTTACAAAAAACACATGCTCTGAGTAGACTCTGTTCTGCTTAGAGTTTGGGCCTTGACAAATAGAAAACATTTCATTTCCTGTCAGAAGAAATGGATTTCAAAGACCTTGCATTTTCAGGTCTCCCATTTTGTATGCGTGCATAATGGCAAAACATATCTGAGTCACCATCCTTCAGAAAAATTCAGATGACACTGATCCATTATTGCTGTCATATGTGGGGTGGGTTTGCAACAGAAAAAAAAAAAAAAAGATTAAATAGTAAAGGGTAAACTCTGACTTGTAACCAGCCTGAAAGCAGGAAATGGAGTTCTTTCTCCTTGGGTTCCAGTTGGCAGAACTGCTCAAGCACAGTATGGATCTAGATGCATGGGTTTTTTTGTTGTGAGATAGAAGGTTGCACATGGAATGTATGCTGTGGCTTGATCATGCTCTCTTCTGCTTTCTGTCAGCTAATCTCTGTGCTGATGTAAGGGAGCCCCCAGTGAAACTAGGGCTAGCTTGATTTTGGGTGCACAAGAGCAATTTAGGCTTAGAATAGCTTTATAGGTAGTGTATCTATCTTTGGTGACTGATACGGACTTTCATAAGGATAAAATTAGTATATGCTCTGAATTTTCTCGTAAAAGAATCTTCTAGTGCCTGGAAAAGAGATTAACCTGTTGTCCCTCAAAGCTAATCCTTACACGTATTAGTTGGCTTTTAATGGCATTCATCATTCATGTCAGCCATTGCATGCTGAGCAGTGAAGTTTAGGCTTCAAAATTGCCAGGTCACACTTTGAGAGTACTGAAGTGTAAACAGCAAAATGTTTTGCATCTGTAAAATACCAAATTGCTTTTCATTATGGACACTTTTCCCACAACTTGTGTATTATTTTTTTAAAAATGTAAAATATATATAAATAATAGATCTATGAAATCTCCTAAAATAGTATATCTGGAGTCTTACTCTGACATTGTGCATTTTTGTGTGGCTTAGTGATGTCTGAGGGTCTGAAAACTTTCTTCAGTATGTCGTGTAGCATAGCAAGCGTTACCATGGTACCTTGTAGCAATTTTCCAATCAGCAGATGGAGCCACAAGGCGAAAAAAAGATCTGAGTGAAGAATTTTGGAATGGAATAATACTAAAATAAATTTGCTATAAAAAAACGCTCCATATGATTGTTGAAAAATTAAAGCAAACAGTCCTGTAATGTATCATCTGTTTGTTGAACGTGTGCTCTCATTTATATGATCTGTACATAACCAAGGTAAATTACAATAAATTAGTAGCAACTAATGACAGCTTTTACTTAATTTGGTGCTGTATCCCCTTATTTAAGCCCTCACCCTAATATTTGAAAGAGTGAAAAAAATCAACTTTCAGGATGTTTAATATTGTACTTTCTCAAAAAGTAAAATTAGAATAGACCTGTTGGACTGGACGTGGGAATCAGGAATATGGTGATTTGAGATCTTCGTAGAGTTGGTTTGTCAATGCAGTCGATTCCTTTCTGCAGATCAGGTGGAGTGTGAAAGGGAAAAGAACTTCCCGAAGGATATCAAGTAGTAGCAACACTCCTCGCTAATCCATTGAAGACTGATAGAGATGCTTAAGCAAATCCACAGTTTACCCAAATTTTCCAAAGCACATATTTCTAGTTATTACCAAAAGACATCACTTTGCCCTGTTTCAGAGTGCCTTATCACCTGTGGGGTTTGTGGTGTTTCCAGATGAGCTAGATAGTGAGGCTTTAAATATGTTTAAATAGGTTGCTTTTTTTAATATAGTCATATGATTGAGCTTTTATAACTACAACTATGCTTGTTGAAGACATGCTGTTTTAACAGTATGGAATGCTTTGTATGCTCCAGTTTCAACTTGTCCCAGGATAAGGATGTTCTTGCTGAAGATGATTTTTTTCCTTGCAGTATATATATATATTGCAATATGGATTGTACAGTTCAGTAACCTAGTGCTGAACATACTCTACTCTGACACTTCAGAGAGCAACAGGAGAAGTGATACAGTAAGAGGGTCAAATTATTTTTATCCTTTTGTTTGCTCCACTTTTATGATGGCAAAAATAAAATATCAGGGAAGAGTCTGAAGCTCAGTCTAAAATCAGCAGTTCTTCAACAAGTATTTTGTCTCCATCAGAATTCTTTCTGCTGCATGAAGCAGATTAAAAGGAGGAAACCAAGTATTTTGCAACACTACAAATGTAACTATGTAAGCGTGCCACAGATTTTAAGTTGGAAAAACTATAGCTTGAACCTTACTTTCCATGGTGATTTGTCTTTACATTACGGTGCTGTTGCACTGTCTGTTAATACTGTGTCTCTTCTGTGAATGAGCAGAGAATTTCGGTATTCACAGCGACATCTTTGGAAACATTAAATGCATGTACAAGCGCTTTAAAATGGCAGAATGTAATTAGAGCTGTAAGTTTGACAGTAATTCCTACAAAATTACAATATTTTCACCGTGCAGAAGGCAAAACTAAATGAAATGGATGTTGTTAGCATCTGCTAAGCATGATCACAGTTTTTTGAGATGGTTGGCTGTCATATTTATGACGCTCTGAGTGACATCTATAGCTGTGACTACCATTGTGCACTACCATTCAATTGCTGGATCTCAATCTGCCACATTTATAATTTAGCATTATGGAAGATGCCTCTTCCTGCAGCTCAAAAATCAGGGTGGAGAGGAATGCAAATTCACTTTAATTATTCAAAAAGGACTGCTCTAGAGCAATCATACATGCAACCACATGCTTAAGTCCTGTTATTTGGAAAGCAACTGTGAAGTGTTTTCCCAGTGCAAATAATTGCCAGGGACAGAATAGGATCCTTGAATTCAATTCTCCTTCTCCATTTAGGATTAGGAAAAGTGCCACTTTAGTTCTGTTCCTGCAGATACTCTGGTCACCTCCTTGCTTCTGTTGTACCCTGTTCTGAGTATGAACTGCAGGCTTTGCTGCATGCATAACATACTAGCACATGTGCCCAAGAGTTGAAAGAAGATTCATGGTTTGAGGTGGTATAGGTAGTTTGAATAAATTCTTGTGTTCTTCTAGTTCTCCATGCATTTATGTTGGTGCACTAAAGAATACGTACACATCATAAGGGTGAATAAGAATATGTTTATTTCTCAGTCAGTAGAAACATGGACTGGTTTGGGTTGGAAGGAACCTGAAAGCTCATGTAGTTCCAACTCCCCTGCCATGGGCAGGGACACCTTCCACTGGAAAAGGTTGCTCAAAGCTCCATCTGGCCTGGCCTGGCCTTGAACACTGCCAGGGATGGGGCAGCCACAGCTCCTCTGGACAGCCTGTGCCAGTGCCTCACCACCCTCACAATGAAGAACTTCTTCCTAGCACCTAATCTGTAGGTCAGAATGTGTATTTGCTCACTTACTACTTTCCAGTCATCACAGGTATCCTTCCAGGATGGTTTAGCTCTGTGTGAAGCCCCCTGCTCTATGGGACTTTCTTGGACTGTAAAATTTCAAATTGTTTTTAGTTCTTATGGTCCATAAGATGTATCACTGAAATACTAATAGTGAAGATGATGATTAGAAGGAAGATAATGGTCCCAGTTTGGTTTTAAATTAATCTAGAGGCTCTGATTTGCTAGATTAAACCAAGTGTTCTGAAGCACACAAAGATTACTGTAATCTTCTACTATTCATGCATCATTGTTAATTAATGGGCTTCACTGGACTTACCTGGCTCCTCAGAAATACTGTAATTAACTGAGAGAACTGTGTGTCTGCTTGCTTCTGATCTTTATCTTAGATATTCTATAAAGAAAATCCTATCCTAGTGAATAGTGAGCAGCAAAAGATTTAATGGGAGAACTGGAATACCATTCCATTATATGCTTGCACAAAATGTAGTTTTATTCATTAATTTATTCATTTATACATTATTTCACCTCCAAAAGATTGTTACCCTCTCACAATGCATGTAAGAAAAGTATAAGTACCTCTTCTGAAATGTTTGTAATGTAGGATCCATCTGCAATAAATTCCAGTTTCTGGAATTTATATATATGTATATGTTTTCCCATAAAACGTTGGGTTTTGCATAAAATTACATGTATTTAAAATATATATATTTATATATATGGAATATACATTTGGAATATATATCTAGACTATGGAATATATATATTCCATACATAAAAATATAGAGTGTATATAATATATATGGAACGTATATCTATTTTACATATATATATATGGCTTCCATAAAACATACATCTATATTTTTATATGTATGTTTTTCCATAAAACATGTAGACCTGCAGTTTCAGGAATATGTTTTTTGGCCTAGGAGGTAGGGTGTTTTGTTTTGGTGGGGTTTTGGTTGTTTTGGTTTTTTTTGTTTGTTTGTTTTTTGTTTGTTTGGTTGGTTGGTTTTGATTGTTTGGTTTTGGTTTTTTTTCACATTTCCTTGGTTCTGTTTTTGTAGTTGCACTCTATATTATTGCGTTTATTTAGTCAATTATATTTGGCTCAGGAAATGTATTGTTACATTATATACACTGACTAGATAGCTTCCTGCATTCATATTTTTAAACTGTAGATGGTTTACAAGGAAAAGGCAATAAGTGCCTTTATTTTTCCTATCACCATTTTCCAAGACTTTCTGTAACATCCTCTAAGTTGTTTAACTGTAGCTGTCAACAAGTTCTTTGTCAGGGATTTTGCTTTTCAGAGTAAAATAGATAAATGATGATACTTTCTCAGGCTTCCTCTTACTAAATATCATGTGGGACAGAGCAGAGGTTTCAGCTGTGAGAATACAAAAACTTTAAACACCATTCAAAGTATTTGGATATTATGGGTATTTTTAAAGTATGCTGTGTTAGGTGGAGAAGCTGCTCACCTACCTGTAATCATGTATATATAAAAAACCCGACTCTTCTGTGCTAGTCTCCTGGAGAATACTTTAACAGTTTTTTGCCACCTGGGGAAGTAGGAGGAGGAAGGATAAAAAATTATCTCTTTTAAAAGATTCTAACTACAGAAGGAATGATGATTATAAGGCCACTGAGTTGCTTTTCACAGAAACAGCTAATGAGAAGATCTGAATTAGGGCAGAGAAGTATACAGCTTGTTTAATCATTAGATGGAATTTGTTTGTTCCACATGTTATTCAAACATTTGAACTGCTAATATGAAGATAGCTTCAGTCTGAATTACTTGAGCAGGCATTCACTAAATGTAATTCAGCTGTGGTAGAATCTTGTCAGCCTTCTGTCACTATCTCTTTCCATAGCCTGTAGAGAGAGTTTAGAATGACTAGGTTTCTAACTTAAGCCTCTCCGCTAAGTGCCTAAAATTAGGTGTTTTGCAAATGGATGTAAGGGACATGCCACTCAATGACAAAACTAGCTCTGAACCTGGAAACTCCCACCTGCAATCTGTATATTAGCTTATTAGAGACATGTGCTATATATGAGTGGGATAAAAACAGTTCTGCTGTTTATGGTCATGTTGCATTTCTGGTGAGATGCAATAATTATACTTGAGATGGCTTTCTGTGGGTATTTTAAACACATTGAATTCTCATTGACATATCTGAACTTTCCAAGCAATAAATCTCATTCATCACCTTAATTTGTTGCTCTGAAAAGACTTGTGTTGGTCAACCTTATTATCTAGGAAGTGTTTTTTCACAAATACCACAAATCATGAATTACAAAAGCTACCTGATTGTAGCCAGCTTTTTTAAAATGGAAAGTCTTTATTTTTTTTTTTTTCTTCTATGCCAGTAACATTGAGAGAATATGCTCTTTTTCATAAAACACTCAGTCAGAAGTCTGGCTTCCAGCACTGTCAGCAGTGCCCTTTTCTCAAGTCAGTAACCTTTTCTGGGCTAAACCCCAAAATGAACCTGTCATGGATGTGACTAGTGTTTTATGACCTGCTGATGATAAATGCAGAATTGTGTTACTCTTCCATTCCAGTTAATAATTTTGCAATTTTGAAACAGTAGTGGGATGTTAATATTATATTCCTTATTAACATTAGAAAAACTATTTTCTCCTCAGTAATGTCACATGGTTGTTAATATCACACAAATGTAACCTTACCTAGGAGCTAGATAATCTTGGATCCCAACATAGTGTTTACTGTTCTAATGTTATTTATCACCATCTTGATTAATTTCTTTCAAAATACAAGGCAAATGTTTTACAACACTGGTAACCATTAGTACTACATCACTGGGACACAGGACAATTCTTTAGATTAATTGTATCTCATGTTGTCCCGTTATAGCAATACATTTTTATACTAGGAGTTCAGTGGCAAGGGTAACCAATGAAGAGCACAAAGAAGAAACTTTGCCTTTTTAATTTTTCAGTATTTTTCAATTTCAGATTCTCTCCAGTGCTCTTCTTACCTTTAATGTAAGTGGAGGAGGAGCAACCTGTTACCTGAACTTTCATACTGGTTCCTAATTCTGTGTTTGATAGCAGTGCATTTTTGAAGGGACCATTCTCATCTATGGGAGCTTTTTCACACACCATTTAGTATAACAGTAAGATAACTTTGTTGTGTTTATGAATTTTTCCAGTAAATTGTTTAATGCTTTGTTGCAGTTTGCAAGCAGGGAACAGGTTTTTTTTTAAGAACAAATATAAACTAGGATTTTTTTTTTTTTTTTCCCCTCCGAATGATCTTTGAGAATATTTTCAAGTCTCTGTTAAAAGACCTAGTTAACCTGTCCAGGCTAAAATAACCAGCTTTTCTTTGAGGATTTTGGTACTTTTAGGTTTACCAATTATTTCTCAATTAAACTTGTCCTATTCCAACCATTAATATATTTCCAAATTTCTGCAGAGTCTTTTGCTAATTTATTCTTCAGATACATTTCTGGTCTGATTTTTCTTTTCCTTCTACTTTTATCTTCTTTCTAACAACCTCTGTGTAATTATCTTTTAATCTGTGAGGACCTTAATTCTTTTTCTCATGTGCATCCATTTTTTTCTGCAGATTCCGTTTGTCATTACTTCTTCAAGGAAGCATATTTAGTAACAAGGTTTGTAGTTTTAAAATCTCCTTAGGTTCTTTTCCAGTTGTTTGGTTGTTGTTTTGTTGGGTTTTTTTGTTTGTTTGGTTTGGGGTTTTTTTTTTTGTGATAATAAACTATTTTTTTCTCATGCCTTGCCTACATGCTTTAAATCTATGGATAGTGTTTTTTGATTACTTCTGTCTTTCATGTCAAAATAAAATGAGTTTTTATTCTGATAACATTTGAAACACTCAAATTTGTCATTAGGGGATTCTTCACCTTTCAAGGCTTTTTTACAGGATCATTATATTCATGATAAATGAAAGTAAAAATCCTCATCAGTTGAGCCTGTGCTTGGATATAAGATATGAAGCTGTAACATCTGCTACTAAGAATGATGTAACTGATCTGGTATTTAAAAATGCCAGAGTGAGTAGGTAGTTGTGGGAGATGAGATGAATACTTCAGCAGGTGCCTTGCTTTCCAGTAACCATGGACCTTAATATGGGATTATAGATATCTGACTTTTTAGCAGTTATTGGTTGATTTTTTCACTAGGGTCTTGTTTGAGTTTTAACCTTTTTGATATGCTATACAGATACTCAAGCAAGCAATCATGCTTAACAGAGTAGTTAACAGGCATATGAGGTATCAAGCCAAAGATAGAATTTGCAGTGAGTAAATATGGGACAGAAATAGGAATGTGAAGGCAAAGGAATCTATTTCAGAGCAGGGAGCTGTTCTTGTGCTTTTAAAATACCTCAAGAACAAACAGAAAAAAAAAAACGGGTTTTGGGGGGGTTTGTTTTTGGTTTTGAGGTTTTTTTTTCTTCACAGCTAAGGTTGCTTTGCTGCAGATTTTCCACCTTTCAGTGTTCACTTTATTGGAATATTTCTTTTCAAGATTTTTATACCCCAAATACTACAATGTGTTGCATTTGCTTTGCTTTGCCAGTTAATAAATACTTTTATTTGTTATGGGTTGGGTTTTTTTCAACTGGAAGTAATCATCAACAACACTTGGGAGACCTAAGCTGAAGAGAAAGTGAAATCATTTCACTTTAAGGCTAATACTTGCTATTTTTATTGCACCCAAAGGAAGAAATTTTACGAGAAACAGGTTTTGCGTGCCATTGCAGCATTAGTCATAAGAGCTACAGCATTAACTAAAGCCTGCATATACACCTACAGTGTAGCATTTTGCTCTTGTATGCTGATACTGTTCGAGTCCTCTCATCGTTGCCTTGAATGCAGTTCAATTCAGCACTGGATGCTGCAGTCTTCTATTGTGGTGCAGGTCACGTAGCAGTGAATGAACAAGATTGCATGAATAATGTGCTTTTTATTCAGCGATTGGATAAAAATGAATGTCCTCAACACCTACGTACATCCAATCTCCACCACTTCCTGTGTGCTTATTCTTCCTGAAGCTTTAATTATTTATCCTTGGAGAGAATTTGACAGTTACAAGTAGTCACGACTCAGTTGGTTAACCCTACAAACACCAGAACCAATCTCCATATCAAGTACAGTTGAATGTCTCATGGAATCAAATATTGATTTTGAAATGTATGACTCCCTTTTAACAGAAGAATCCTGGCATTCTTAAATACTACGTATTTCTAAATCTAGTGCTGTCTTTAATGAAATTAAAATTGGTCTAATATTCTTGCTAATTTCAAGAGGTAGTCTTTGAAGAGTGTGATATGCTTTAAACACTGACATTGGCATTCTCCAATGAAAATGCAGTTTCAGGAGAGAATGGTCAAGTAAGGGGGAAAGCAGCATTAGTTAGCAAGTTGAAATATGTGCATAGTTTCCCATCATACGATATTGCATAGTGATGAGAGAAAAAAAGAAAAAGAATTATACAAGATGTCTGCTGATTTTGCTACATGGTATTTATAAAGTGTTCAAATAACAGCAAAATTGTGTGCATAGTAGGAGTCAGCATATCAATATACATCAAGAGAAAAAGAACCTTAGAAATAGAATGCTTCTGTGTCTTGGTTACATGTAAAAAGAAAGGGAGGGAAAGCATGTGTATGTATGTGTATATAAGTATATATATACACTTTGTCTACTTGATCTGAGGGCAAGAAAATTATCAAAGAAACAGTAAAATTATTTTTCATGTGATCATTTTGTTTACTAAAAATATTTGTTATGTGGCTGAATTTTAGACGCCAGTGCTAGAAGGCCAACAATTAGGCTACATTGCCAGAACTTGTTTTTGCTAAGTGTGTTGTCTCCCCTGCCCACCGCTCTCCCTGGCAATAGTGCCCTGCATGGCCTCAGAATTCTTTTCATTCTTCTTGCAGTGAGGGCTTCCACAATTTTACATCAAAATTAGAAGTAACAGCAGAATATTGTTACTTATGGGGTCCGTAATCAGGATCCAGAAACTCACCTATGCTTTTACCTGTAGATTATGCCCTTGCTCTGCTGGATAATGTTACTGTATTATCTGACTGGACTGCATGAATCATGGCTTGTGGGGACAGATCTGTCTATAACATTAGGCTGCAAAATGTAAGAGTATGCCCAGTGCTGGTAGCTACTAACATTTTTAAGCCTTGAACCTAGAAAACCGCCTCATCTCCTCATGCTAAGAACAGACTTGAAAGTGTAATGTGAGGGGGTTTTGTTTTGTGCTTTTGCTTGCAAACATTTGGGTGAGGTAATTAGATTACATTAGCAATTTACCCTGAATTTTGACAGTCCCTCTGAATTTCTATTAAACACTAGGTGTTTTCCTTGAAAGTAACACAGTGGTCCAGTGAAGAATTAATTCTCAGAAGACATGTTCCCTGTGCTGTGTGAAAGATTAGAGTAGGTATTAACAGTGGCTCCTTTTTACCCTTTGTTCTAGGTATTATTAACTGAATATTAGGGGTAAGCTTATTTCAAGCATGTTGGTATCCTGCAAATTCTATGGTGTCATATTTAATGCTGTTGAAATGAATGTCCAACTGAACAGCTGGACCAGTTGTTGAGACCTGCCAAAATACTGAGGAATCCTGAGTTTTGTATTCTAATTCATGGTAGATATGGTCATGGTGAAGTGGGTCTTTGATGTGTGAGCTGAACTGGTTCTGATTGTTTTAGTATGTGGAACTTGGCAAATCGGCAAACTCAGATTTTCAATTTCTGAGTGTTAGTATGAGAGAGGCTGAGATAACCATAATAAAAAAAGTGTACCAAAGTACAATGATGTGCTGAGGTACTGTGAAGTGATTTTTTTAAGCAGTTACGACAGGTTTATCCCAGTCTGCATGAAGACAGAGATGAAAGGTAGGTTGGCATATTTTGTGAGATAGATCAAGGGCATATGAACAGTCTCAGGATTTTAGAGAACAGAGAATTTGGTCTGAAGCTCCAAACTTAGATTAGCAAATTGGTGTTTCGCCTAAATGTAAACACTTCTCTGTGGCATATTCCAAGTCTTCTCACTCCAACATACTGACAGCAAAACAACGCCTGCTGCTAACCATGTTGGTTTTATTGCCCATGTCTTTGATGTTATCTGTGAAGTTTTGCAGTACTGGTAATATCCCTGATAATATTTAGAGCATGTTTATTAAAAGCATTAGATTTAAAGTTTTTGTTATGAAGAATTCAACTTTTTTTTTTTTTAGTCATCCTTTTGATCTGTTTGCTGCTTCATAGCTACAAGACAATTTTGTGAACATAATTAAAAATTGCAAAAGAATGAACCATATGATCTTCCCTATACTGCTCATGCATTCATCCTTTTCCTTAAATGATGTAAATACCATCTCTGCTGCAAAGGACCTCCTCAAAGATGAAGATGGATTACCTATAGGTGACCATTTATAGACTGCTTCCTTTCAAAAGCGTGAAAAGCTGATGCAGCAACTGAAGCAGGGTTGCTGGTGGGTGCAATATGCTTCTGAACAGATGAGACAGGTGAGCAAGACATTGCTGTCTTCTTAAATAGGATTAAGTTGTGGTCTTATGTTCTGATGGCCCACACTTCTCACTGCAGTAACATGGCTTTGCAGGGACTTACATACAAGTTCTTTATTCTCTTTACTCCCTCTTTTAGTTGTGATTAGCAGGTTGGTGATCTAGTTGCCCATAAATCCTAATGCTCTAGTGAGAGTTAATGTGCTTTGTAGAAGGGAAAAGCTCCTTCCAGCTTCTTTTGCAGCTTGGACAGCAGAGGGCAGGTGTTTGTTTTGCGTGACTGAACGTTTATTGTGTGGAATGGCTGTGTGTGTACATGGAATGAAAGTGCATGTTGCGAGTTACAGAGATGTAGTATAGAGCAGTTAAATATAATTTATGCATATAGGGGTTTTTTTTAAAAGAATGTTCTGCTTTTTCATGAAAGACTTTTGTCCAAAAATGTTAAAATGCTACTGGCAAGATAAAAAAAGGTCAGTCCACACATCACTATACTGAAACGTTCTAATATAGTTTTCTTCTCTCATTTCACTGTTGTCATGGCGGTCTGTGAACATTCATGTCCATACTAGAGTCTCTGCACAGGAGGCAGATGTATATTTATTCTGACGCAGAATTTTGTGCAGCAGACTTATTTTGGCATTGTTGAGTTTTTAGGGTTTTTTTGTAGCCACGTGGCAATCGTAATGCTTGTAGCTAAACAAGATTTCTGAAAGTTTAGATATGCTGGCCAGGCATATGTTGGTCAGGTGCTGTGCAAAAGGAAACTCTTAGTATTTACACAATGTTATGTGCAAAATCATGGTTTTGCTGGTATAGTTTCTTGCATTTGGGTAGCTTAGCAGCTTCAGCAGGACAAAGCACTGCTGTGGCATTGTTTGGTTAATCCTAGAGAGTTAAAGTGCCACTAGTCATGTTAAAATAAAGTATTAGCTTAAGGGTAATTGCAGTTTATGGTGTCCAGTAATAACTGTTGGAGAAGAGGCTTAACAGGTTAATTCAGTGGCAGATAATAATTTCATAACATTATAGATCTGTACTCTTTCCTATCCCAGTCAACGTGAATAATAACAGCAGACAATCTACATTTATACAAT